ACAATCTCCACAAGCCCCTATTCTGATATAACCCTCATTTAGTTGTAGTTAGTAGATGGACATTCTCAAGGTCTTTTTAGCTTTACTCAAAGGTCATCCATAAATTATCGTCTCACCGATTATTTGTTTGTGGCTCTAGCTGCACCTCAAGACCAGTATCTTTAAGATTTCTGCTAAACTGTACTGGCAGATATCAACTAGCATAAAGTGTTAACCCAGGTTTTCCTGTTTATCATTTCTAACTAATTAACACCAAATTGGGTGTATGATCATTCAGTGTACTAGTTGCTAACTTTTCACTTAGATTTCTTTTGAATAAAGCTGACAAAGTCTAAGATTTTGAGAATTAAATAAAATTATATCATTACTTACGGTTATGAAATGCTAGTGGACTGTAAAACTGGTCAGAAGATATACGATATACTTTCACTAGTTATTATTTCATTAAAGAAGTACCGTCCAGATATGAGAATTACTTTTTTTATACATCTGTGCATCATCAAAACAAGAAACTCATCCATTTTTAGTTTTGGCTTAAATTAGATTAATAGTAATAGGTTGAACAGAAAAGTAATATGATTTCATGTTTGTTGTACTCTAGTTATACTCTTTACATTATCTTTTTATTGACTTGATCATGTGCTCACTAGTGACTGGTTCCATGAGGTATTTCCTGGAGTTCTAGTGAGAAGCAGTAACCAGTGGAGTTCAACCAGGTCTGTTTGGAGACATCAACTCACTGATGACATTGGTGAATGGTTGCTCAATTTCATGGATTGGTTGAAGATAGACGTTAACACCGTTGGATGCCGGCTCAATGGTCTATCGGCTAAGTGCTCTGGCGCGAGACCGATAGGTTCTGGGTTCGAATCTCATGAGTGCGGAATCGTGGATGCGCACTACTGAGGAGTCCCCGAAATAGGACAAAACGGCTGTCCAGTGCTTCCAGGTTTTCCACGGTGGTCTAGCTTCAATTGACTCATGATTTCAACTATATAAAATTACTAAGATTTCCATAAAACCTTCTGACAATTAATAATTGTTAGATTTCTCAGTTCATTCTATTTACTTTATAATATCACCTTATATAAGTCAATCAATCAGCATAACTGTATGGTTTGACATAAATGTGTATAGGTTTAGAGTTCCGTATACCTTAGAAAATTAGCATAACAACTGAATAGAATTTAACAAAATGAAACAGATACAAACGATTATCTACTGACTGATTGAATTAGTTAAATATAATCCGACTACGTGAAAAAAAGACCAATCAAAATGTAACGAAATTTGTTCACCAAGCAATATCTTACTTACTTACGCCAGTTACCCCTCTTAGAGGAGCATAGGCCGCTCACCAGCATTCTCCATCCAACTCTGTTCCAAAAAACCCTTTCTAGTCACTTCCAGTTGTTATTCATCCTTTTCATATCTGCTTCTATTTCCCGGCGTAATGTGTTCTTTGGCCTTCCTCTTTTCCGCTTCCCTTCAGGATTCCAAGTTAGGACTTGCCTTATAATGTACATTGGTGATTTCCTTAATGTATGTCCTATCCACCTCCAACGTCTTTTCCTAATTTCCTCTTTAGCTGGAAGCTGGTTTGTCCTCTCCCATAAAACGCTGTTGCTGATAGTATCCGGCCAATGGATGTTGAGTATTTTGCGTAGACAACTGTTTATAAATACTTTTACCTTCTTGACGATGGCTGTAGTAGTTCTTCACGTTTCAGTTCCGTACAGTAGAACTGACCGTCTTGACGTACGTACTGAAGATTCTCACTTTGAAGTTAGTTGACAGTTCCATATGTTCCATTGATATGAAACTGTTTCAATCTCGAATTTGTTAACTCTATCAGTCATCTAAAAGTACGATCTCAACGCTATCAGTAATAGTTTTCGATTAAGATGTTATATAATTTATCTTCGGTTTATACAAATAAACACTAGTGACTGAATTAAGGATGGATTTCATAAAAAATCAAATTTTGTTTTCATGTATTCATCTTATTATATAAAACTAAGTATATACTAAAGGTCATTGCATAATTAACAGATAGCATTGATCTATTACAAGGTCATGGTCATTTCTAATGATAATATGTAAATTTAGGTTAGTAACTATTTGAAAACCTGATTATAGTTTCACTATATTCCAGGTACAACATAACAGTAGTCTAACAGTAGTATATATATATATATATATATATATATATATATATATATATATATAAATCGTTTGAATAACTCTGCATTATAATTTTTCAGTTAACTGTTGTTGTTAGTAAAGAACAATAGTGTTTGATATCATTTGTGTCTCCTCACTTTTTCTATGAACGATTGTATGTGATGATTGTCTGTTGATAAGGATGGCAAATCGATTAATAAAGTAGTGAAACTTCATCAGTTGAGATGGCTGGGACACGTGTTACGTATGCCCAACCACCGACTACCTCGACGTGCAATGTTTTATGGTGTAGGAGTAGGTTGGAAGAAAGCTAGGGGCGGCCAGACTAAAACGTGGCACAAATCCATGAAGTCACTGACAATTGGATAGAGCCATGTTGGTAGGTGTAGACTACATGGTTGGGATTCGCGAGATGATAGCAACCGATCGTTAGAGACCTTGAATGACATGGCTCCAAATCGTTTGCAATGGCGAAAGTGCATCCACTCTTCGTGTTCTGCCAAATTCTAATCTTCTTTATTCTTCATGTCTCTATCTCTTTTTTCTTTCCGAATTTATTTCACTGGATTATACTCTTTCAATAACATCTTCAAACCCCAATCTTTCTGAATACTGCTTATACTCTTATGACCTCTACCACTATGGGATTTGAATCGACAACTTCATCTCTGTGTTAATGTGGTATGGCAACTCGAACTTATGTACGTACGTACGAAGTTCTACGTTGCGACTGACTGACTGGTTGTCTGTTGGTACTGCGTGAATTGTTAGGTCGGATGATATTTTTTTCCCAAGGTAAGCAGTAGATTCCAGGCCAAAAATAGAACATTATGAATTTCACTGATGACCACTACAAAGGAATATATATTTTTGTTCTTTCTTACGACATGTACAATAAATCTTTCAGTTCTATTGTTGTATTATTCACTAGATCTCTAGGCTACGTAAACCCATACGCTCGTAAACCTCCTTTCAAAACACTAGGCGGTCGAATGAATTGTAAAAAGTGGATTGATGAGATTATAATTTATGGACGACGTTTGAGCAAAGCTAAAAAGACCTTGAGAATGTCCACCTACATACTACGGATAAATGAGGGTTATAAAGCAATGCAAGGGAATAGGATTAATATTTACGACTGATAGTCAGGGTTAGGAATTAGATTTAAAGTTTTCATCACAAACTGATATCAGTTATAATGCCAAAACTCTATTTAACCAAATAAATGAATTAATTTCGCGCCAAAACTCAAGACCTGTCATCGTAAATCTGATTGGTTCGTCCATAAACTATAGTCTCGCCATTGAAAGAAGCTGACAGATATTGATCAAAGTCCGTCGTCAATATCAATAACAATACACATATAAGTTAATACATATGATACATTTATAGTTAACACCGTGAATTGATCGTAGTTAAACAATTAGTGATAACAAGAGGCATCAATCAACATTTTCGTCTTAGTGTGTGACCTCTCATTAGTGCATATCTACAAACCCTGAGAGTATAGCTCAGGATCTTCAGATCTCATGAAAAGCGCTTAGCCTTTAAATCACTGAGCAAAAATCTAATTATTGAAGTGTTTAGTTACAATCAGTCCGTGAATAGTAATGAATTGTAATAATCGAAGTTGAAATTTAATTCTAAAACATTAACCGAGTTACTTTTATGGCTAAGCGGATGATTCGTAAATTGCAGCTCTTGTATTCGATTGCTAGTGAGATTATGTGTATGCACTTCTGAGCAGTCCCATAAATTGCAGCAAATCAGCTGTTTAGTGCTCTGATTTTTAGCCCCTTAATGCCCTGATACGACTGAAATTAGGGTAGGTCGGCCCTCTCCCTCGAAATTTTGTCACACGGCTACGCGTATACAGCTACTCCAAGGGAAGTCCTACTCACTGCCTTCTCGTGGCATTACTGTTGTTTACGAAATTGAGAGGATGAAAATCGAATGTCCGGAGCTTTAACTGGGTTGGTGGACATGGAAAGTTCACCTAGAGGAGTTGGAAATCCCTCATTCCAAACCAATGGTGCACATGAGCTCCAGTATCCTGAGGGAACAAATGGCGTATAAATCAATCGTTGGTCACAGGCTACCATGGGACTGCATCTCCTCACGATGCTCCACTGCCTTGTGGGTTAGACCTTTAGGTCAACGTCTCGGGATATGGTCCCCTAAGGAAACCACCTGCTTCGTTTTGGGCACCCGGGCAATATCATATCCCTCATATAATTAAATGAAATGACAATTTTTGTGTGCCCCCCCCCCTGGTACCAATATTTATGTGTTCAAATGGAATAAAAAACTGATTTTCAATGTTATCCTAATAGACATAGCATAGAAATAATTATCAGAAGGGGATTTTTGTAGAGATTTAGTATTTTCATAGTTGAAAGCGTGAGACAATTGCAGCTAGACCACCATGGAAAACCTGGAAGCACTGGACGGCCGTTTCGTCCTGTTCGTATTGTTCATTTATTATTGTAATGAATATTACATTATTGATTATGAATGTATATATATTCTATTTGAGATAATAATAATGAATAATGGTAAAAGCTACTCAACAAAAAAAGAATTCATTATTAAGTGCTCTGGTGTGAGACTGATAGGTCCTGGGTTCGAATCTCGCTAGGTGAGATCATGGATGCGCACTACTGAGGAGTCCCACAGTAAAACGAAACGGCCGTCCAATGCTTCCAGGTTTCCCCTGGTGATCTAGCTTCAATTGACTCACTGACTTTCAACTATGAAGATAGAAATAATTGTATTGTTTTATTGACTTTCTATTATATTTTTTTTTGATATTATAGAATTTGGTAAATTGTATATAATGACATCTAGTAGTAGTACAACAATACCAGGATTGGCATTTTATGATTCATTAATTAATAATAATATAACAGAATCAAAACGATTAGTTGAACTACATAAAATTGATATTAATGCAAGATTAAGTCATGTAAGTTGACCAGTTTTAATGAATATACATTTTTATATTTTTGTATTATTGTAATTCATTTCATCATTACAGTACTTTCTTATACCTGTTCCTCCTAATGAAGCATAGACAACCGACAAGTATTAGTCATTATAGTGATTAGACGATATTATGTATATATATGTATATGTATATACAACATCAAAATGTTTAAATCCACAGTGATATTTGAAAGAAAGTTGGAGTTCTTAATAGGATCAGGGACATATATGCATCACTTCAAGTTATCACACCTCATTAGCACAATAAGATCAATACCGAAATTCATAGAAATAGTTACTTCAATGGTAATAATGAAATTCAATCAAAACTATAATTATAAACAAAGATTGTGGATGCACATTGCCGAGGAGTCCCACAAAAGGACAAAACGACCGTCCAGTAATTTCAGCTTTTCCATGGTGGTCTAGCTCCGATTGACTCATGATTTCAACTATAAAATGAAATTCCTGTTTTTCTAGAACAATTAGAAGAGGTAGTTGATTCGAAAAATTTTGTGATATATTTACGTGATACATTTCGAACAATCTAGTCATACAGTTACTTGTCAAGGTCAGTGAAATGACGGGTTCAAGTAAACAAAATGATAATTGTAAATAAAAGAGAGAGAAAATTGTCATCATATAGTGTGAATAGGAAATTATCGTATTACCCTTAGCCATAAACTAACTTCAGCTTATCAAGGTGAATTCAAGGTTACAACAAATGGTTTCTGTACACATAAATGGATTGGAAATTACGAATAGCCAAAGCTTCTGTGAACCTAAGAATTTGTCCTTGACAATTTCTATACAACGTTTTAAAAGCTGTATCGATGTCTATTTTGTACGGTGTTTGAATTGTGTGCGTTGTTATTGATGAACATGTTTTTCTACTTCCCACCTTTATCGGAACATTTGACACTAACTGATTTTGAAGCCATCTGGGAACATGTTCCTTTGATTTCATTGTTCGATCACTCCTCCATATGCATGTGTGTCAATACAAAAATTACTTATTTACTTACTTACTAACATCTGTTACCCCTAGTGGAGCAGCACAGACCACCCACCAGGATTCTCCATCCAACTCTGAGGTGAGCAATCTTTTCCAGTTGCTATTCATTCTTTTGATGTCTGCTACCAATTTCCGGTGCAGTGTGTTCTTTGGTTTTCGTCTTTTCCGTTTCCCATCAGGATTCCAAATAAATGCTTGTCTCACGATGCAGTTTGATGATTTCCGTAATGTATGTATTATCCACCCGCAACGCTTTTTCCTAATTTCCTCTTCAGCTGGAATCTGTTTGTTCATTGCCACGCTAGGTTGTTGCTGATGATATCCGGTCAATAGACATTGAGTATCTTTCGTGACCAGTTGTTCATAAATACTTATGCCTTTTCGATAATATCTGTCAAAAGTATCGAAGAAGGTTCCGTAAGATCCTTCAATCCATACTGTCGAATGCTTTCTCATATTCAAGGAAGTTGCTGTATAGTGATTAGTTCCATCCAATTGATTGTTCCATGATGATCCATAGTGTCGAAATTTGGTCTGTGCGCCACCGATCCTCATGGAATCCGGTCTGTTGATCTCGAAGCTCAGCTTCAACTGGACTTTTCATCAGATTCATCAACACTCTGTTGAAAACCTTTCCTGGTACTGATAGTAATGTGATGACTCTAGTTTTCACATTTCCTCAGATCTCCTTTCTTTGGTATCTAAATGAGATATATGTCCTTTCAGTCTGTCGTCACTTGTTCTTCCTCCCAAATCCTCCTGAATGAAATGTGGAGCATGTCTGCGGTCAGTTCTATGTCTGACGGGTCCTTCTGCTTTCCAACTTTTCGTTCGTCAGATATTCGTCCTGATTTCTCCAATTGCCGGTGGAGTGACATCTATAAGAAGGTCCGTATGTGTTGCTTTGATATCTGGTGTATTCAATGGTGTATTCACTGCTTGGGTGTCCCGTAGGAAGACGAAACAACCGTCTAGTGCACTCAGGTACTCAGCGGTTCATGATCTCAATTATCACTTTGCTTACTTGAATCCTTCGTTTCATTGACCTTTTCACATGAAATACCTTGGCAAGTATGCGTGTGACCAGGTTGTTCGAAATGTATAACGCAAATGTATCACATATTTTCTAGATCAACTCTATCTTCTTATTTTTCCTGCAAAACTTATAAAAGAGATTAACTTCTTTCAATGTTTTGTTGTTATTACATTAGACGTTATCTTGCTACATAATACCTATTTCATTCCAAATGGAACTTGGAAAACTCGCGTTGTTCAAGCTTGTGTTGTTGTCATAGCGTCGTAATTTGATGGGTATATTGATGAAAACTGAGTCAAAGCAAGTCTTAGCAACCAATCTACCATGAAACATTGGTTAACAGATTCTATGACTCCACATAATCAGTAACCTATTTCTGTCTAATATAACACTGAGCTTAAATAATTTATTATCACTGGCTTAATTTTTATTAAAAAAAATAAGACATTTTCATAGTTGAAATCATGGGTCAATTGAAGCTAGATCACCATGGAAAACCTGGTAGCAGTGGACGGCCGCTTCGTCCTATTATGGGACTTCTCAGCAATGCGTATCCATGATCCAACCTTGCGAGATTCGAATCCAGGACCTACCAGTCTCGCGACAGAGCACTTAACCGATAGACCACTGAACCGGCTGGCATCCAACGGTGTTAATGTTATTTAGACATTTGACGAATGATTCATTTCCAGGAAACAAAAAAATTGGAAAAAATGAATAGTTTTCTTGTAGAACTAACACCAAAATGTACAAGTGCAGAACATTCTACCGATTGACTTCAATTGCGTAATGTTAGTAGCCACATCTCAATTCAGTCAACATTTGGAATTAAACGGTATGACTTTTTCATGCCAAACTGTTTTCCTAGATTATCTATTTCATGATATGAAATATCAACTCTTGGATGCAGGTATATCCATCTGACGAGTCCCAAATAGGACAAAACACCGCGTCTTGGATCCCACTACTAGCCACTATCCACCTATGCTTATAAAGCTTGTAACTTAAGGCACTATCGAGGCAATCTGCAATCAACTGCAGTCTTAAACTACAATGGGGAAGATACAAACAAGAAATACAAAGTGTATAAAATATCATAATTGAACTTCATTACAAAGTATGAACTTCCTTTATTCTTTCCTTTATTCTTTTTTTCTTGTTTACTAAATAATTTCTCCTTTAACATTGAGGTCATTTTAGTTACTAGTTTACTTTTTTGTTTTGTTTTACTGTCCACCAACCCATTACATTCCTGTTTATCCATTATGTAGATTGATAGACACATTTGTGAATAAAACAGGTAAATTGATTATTTCAATGAAATAAAGAAGGTCACATCATAACAATAGTTTGTCCTTAGATGTGAATAAGGGACGTGCGTAAGTATATGCGCGCTAAAAAATGTAAATTAATGTAATAAAGAATAGTTTCAGTGGATTTCGTCCCCATGACTAAAAGAGATGATAATGGTGATCTTGATGATGATGATGTGTGATCTCATTATGTATATAATGCACTTTAGTACATATATACATACACAACTACTATCATACAATATTATATTGACTGTTTCACAATAAATGGTACCCATCAAGGATGATTGTTACTAAAAGAACATGATAAACAATCGGAAATTATGAAAAATATGGATTTGCTAATAATATTAGTTATTAGACTAATAGAATTTTACATGATTGAAATCAAGAGTCGATCTAAGATAGATTAACATTAAAAACCTGGAAGCATTGAGATAAGATGGTGGTTGGAGGTGATCAACAAGATACCATTGACCCGGGTTTCGTGCTACTTGGCACTCGTCAGCAAGGTGTACCTGTAATCTTGAAGGAACTGGTGCTCCCTGACGGATTCGATCCCGTGTCACACAGCTTCACAGTCAGAGACGTTACCACTGAGCTATTCGGGATCGAATCCGTCAGGGAGCACCAGTTCCTTCAAGATTACAGGTACACCTTGCTGACAAGTGCCAAGTAGCACGAAACCCGGGTCAAGGGTATCTTGTTGATCACTTCCAACCACCATCTTATCTCAATATATAGTGCACGCTGTGTCGAGTCACCTAGACTTGTGGCCACATTGCAACTTGATCGATAGCATTCGATCAGCACTAAGAAGGATTTGACAGGCATGACATTGATCACCACCCAGTGATCAATCAATTATGACTTGGAAGCATTGGATGGCCGTTTCGTTCTACTATGAAACACCTCAGTGACGCCTATCCAGGGTGTCATATGCAGTACTCAAACCCAGTGCCTTTAGTCTCTTGCACGTGGATGCTTAACTTCTAGACTAACAAGCGTCCAAGACCATAGGTCCTGTGTCGGAGTACCGCCTGCGGGATCGTGGATGCGAACTGCTGAGAAGTCCCATATGAGTACGAATCAGCCGTCCAGTGTTTTCAAGTTTTCGATGGTGAACTATCTTATTTATTGAGATGATTGAAAAGATTTGTAGCTCAGGTGAGTGATTTTGATGTAGGTTTGTTCTCTGAGCTGGATCCAGCTCATTATTTTAAGAATTTGCAATTTCTATCTGTAAATAATGACAACAACAAAATTATCGTCTTACATCCGGATGAAGACTAAAGGAATGGTAGATTTCAGGACTAATTTATGAACTACTGTTATCTGTATTCTTATTGTATAAGTATATATACACAATTTACTGTTCTTGATGTTTCCATTTTGTTAGTTATTGTCCCCTAATCGCATCAGCTTTTTATCTTGATCATGTATACTTGTCATTTTTCATTGTATGTTGTGTTATTGCCTGATATTCCTGTGTATAAAATAAGTTTACTTGAAATCTAACATGAAATTGCGGAGGCTGGACACTGACTTCTGAACTCGAAAGGAGGGATGCAAGAAAGAGAACTGAAAAATCATGGACCAATAAAACCTTAGCAGTTGACTCAAGATTACTAGTGCTAGCTGGATGTGTAGTTAGTCAACTCATAGATGGTAGATCATATCGGGATTCTAATTGGTGGTTTCGCTATGCGATATTATGGCCATAATATATAACACGGGGTTGTATTGTAATTGTTGATTTTATCATTTGGATTACGGATTGATTTTAGTCAAACAATTATTGCAGACCAGACGACACTAGACAACTGCTTCATCCTAATGTCAGGCTCCCCAGCATTGAACATCCACTATCCCACCAACGATATAATCCGGGACCTACAGGCCTCTCAGAGAGTGCCTAGTCTCCTAACTACTGAACCGGGAATTACACGAATCAAACTTAAATTTATAAACTATTAGATATTGGGTTGGTGTAATGAAGGTTAAGCGCCTGTTGTGAAACCTGAAGGTCCTGGTTTTAATTCTAATGAGTCTCATGCTCGGATAAAGCAGTTAACTAGTTCTTGCTTGATTTTCAATGGTTTTCGGACGTATATCAATCCATAATGTATATTATAAAATAATGATAATCACTATGTCAAAGGAGTGAAAAAACTTCATCAGTAAACAGTAAAAAACCCAACCACAATGGGGATTCATTTAAATTTTTGATGTGACTAACTTCACAATAAGTTCTAAACTTGTGAATACATATAGATAATAGCGATAATTATTCATTTGAAAATGTAGGGATGAACGCTTTGAAATTATTATCAGAAAGGGGTTTTGTGGAGATTATAGTAATTTAATAGTTGAGATCATGGACCACCGTGGAAAACCTGGAAGCACACTAGAACGAAACGGTCATCCAATGCTTCAAGGTTTTCCATGGTGGTCTAGCTTTAATTAACTCATGAACTCAACTTTGATATTATCTTACATTGGAAGCTGATAACATTTTAGACAATATCGAAGATGAAATTCAGGATTTTATTTATCTTTATCCCAATATTACCCCTTCCAGCCATATAGAATGGTGAATCCCTGTAAACCATTTTGGTGAAGAGTGCTAAATCGAAGCACGGCACAACTACCGGTGTGGGATAGCTGTTTCTGCAATGCCACTCAAAACCATTACATAACACCCACACAGAACCCATTCTTTTTGTCTTTTTTGTTTTTATTTGGGCAGACTCTTTTTCATTTTACCTCTCTTTTTGAACCGTCTATAGTTATGCAATGACTCCTTGTAGCATTCGTAATCGTTTTTTTGGGTATTGGTAGAGTGGTTGATTAGGCCGATCTCGACCACCGACCATTAACCGCTCACGTTAGATCATGGAAACAGTCCCATGATCCGGGAGGCACAACGAGGACGTGTGAGTCGTATTTTGCCCCCCCCCATCCTAATATTAATTCTTTAAACACTTCACAAATGGAATAGTACACCTTTTTCTTTCTGTTTCTCCTCATCAACTACTTTCTGAAATTCGGAATGTTTAACTGATAAGCTATAGATTTTTGTTACGTAATATGTTAGATACATGGTTAATTGAATCAAAAATGGATAATAAAACTTAACTTCACCGCTTGAAAGTTTATCAGGAAGATAAATCATCATTTGAATACCCTTCGTTTCTTTAAAATGTGACATCTTTTTTTTATAATGTAATTTACCATCTTGCCCAGAACAGGGTTGGATGGAGAATGCTGGTGAGCGGCCTATGCGCCTCCACGAGGGGCAACAGGCGTAAGTAAGTAATTTATCATCAACAAACAAATCGGATCATTCTATATTCATTAAAATGTTATATTCCTTGTTTTATTAAAGGTTCGTAAAAGAAATCATACAGATTTATGTCCAGTACATTTAGTAGCATATAAAGGAAATTTAGCTATGTTACATTATCTTATACAAAATGGTGTTAATGTACATCAACCTACTTGTACATTACAACGTCGTCCAGTCCATTATGCTGCTTTACGTCAACAAGTATCATGTCTTCAAATGTTGGTATGCATTATAAGTTGTTTTTTTCTCTTTTTACTTTTTCTATGATAATGGTATTCGTTTTTGTGTTGGTAATTTGAATTATATACTGTGACTATCGTAAACAATGGTTGGATACTCTAGGTGACATGGCTCAGAGTTGATCATAATGGCGAAGGTGTATACACTCTTTATCTTCCCTTAAACTTTGAGAATAAAATTGCTTAATAACGTTCTTCCTTCCTATACTATATCCTTATACACAATTTTTTATATATTACCACCACTAAATTAACTACTTCTATGAATTCAGTGTTCATCTTGTTGTGCTAATGAGTGGGGTATGGCAACTTGGACGGATGCATAAATGTGCCTGGTCCTACGTTGTAGCTGACTGACTGACTGACTCATACATCAATACGTTGACTTGTTATCTAAAAGGTTTATTAAATTTTTATAAAGGAATTAAAAAAATATTTTGTCCTCGTTTGAAACTTCCTATCCAGGATTTCACTTACAGTCGAGTCAAGGATAAATAAATTTAATCATTCATCTAATATACTTTTGAATTTCCATAACTGTTAACTGTTATAACTGTAACTGAGTGGATGCCTTGTTAACGTATGACGTGATAAGACCGCCAATCAGAAAGCAGCGAATAATCGTCTGGAGCAGTGGAACACGGAAACCGTACGAGCAGTCTAGAGTACTTATTGGTCCCACTTCTGCCTTGCCCAGCCAGTTAAGTCCAGAACAGCCTCTGTGGTATGAATCATTGTATTTCAAACATACTGAGTTTATATACCAATCAAACTGACCATATCGACTATAAAATAGAAAATAACATGTGTACAAGATTTAGCCAAATGTGGCTGTGAATAAGGGGGAGCAGTAATCAATAGACTGTGTATAATTCATGAATGGTAAATCCTATAACAATAGTTTATAGTTCGAAATAAAGCTTATAATAAGGGGCACACGAATATGAATACTTTAGTTATTTTGTGATTATACGATAAATAATATATGCACAGGCCCAGGACAGAGTGGGTTGGAGAACGCTAGTCGACGGCCTATGCTCCATTGGGAGTAACAGGCGTAAGTAAGTAAGTAATATATGCACAGTAATGGTTCATAAATAGATCCCAAAGTTACCATTCACTATTGTTATCGGGACATAACATGAATACAAACCACTCTTTTACTCCGAATTTTATCATACTTTTTATTTAAAATTCAGATATGAATCTAACAATGCATCCGTATGAATAGGTTATATATTTCTATGGTGTTAGTTCCAAGTGAAGAATTGCATTAGATACATTTTATACATTGATATATCACTGAAATAATGACAGACATCACATTTATTCCACAGTTCTAATCGAATTCTAACTACCAAGTTTTAATGTAGCTACTAGTTTAATTTACTAGAAATCATGTGTTATGTGTTGAGATGTTAGGCAGTTGAAAGCAATTGATCGAATACAATCTTTCTCCTATAAACCTTTCATCTTGATGGTCTCATACTCCTCATTAAAATGTCAAAAGATAGTGTTTCCTACCTTTTAGCAGATAAAATGTTCAACCTCTTATAATTCATTAGGATTCTCATTAGGATTTTGAAAATCATTAGGGCAGATGAAGAAAAGTACAAATCAGAAGAACAGACATTTATCTAGACGTTGTACCTTCAGTAAATGGATTTCTGAAATTCTAGTGAAAAGTTCTGAATGGTGAAGTTCAACCTTATTTGAAGTAAAACAGTCATCACCGACAATATTCGATGATCATCATTTATATATCACGAATTTAATTAAGTATGTAATGTAGATCTTTGGATATCCTTTTAATGAAACAGGTTCTAGCAGAGCTTTAAATAAACAGTACAAATGGGAACGGATAATCTATTTAAGGCTCCCTGATTCCCAGACTTAGTTCCATCAATATTAATACATGATGAAGATTAACTTCATATTACACAATTCTCACAAACACATTACTGTACTATAATCTATTTTACTATGATTATCCCCCATTCTTTAACATTTTGTTGCCAATAATTGTGATCTATACATTTACATATTTTCAAATATTTAAGTTAAATGCTGGGGCACAAATTGATGCACGTGATACATTTGGTAATACTCCATTGCATTATGCAGCTGAAGATGGCGATGGTGGACTACTCAGTTTACTATTGAACAATGGTGCTTGTGTAGATGCTCAGGTATATTTTTCTATTCAAGATTTATATAAACATTTATCAATCTATATCTTTTATAACTGAAAAATACATTTTCGAAACTTACTCTAAATGTAATGGTTGAAAGGATTCGAGCAAGTAGCTTAGCGCATAACACCTTAATGTTTATAGCAATATGTATTGAATTTACGTCTCAGCGTAAACATCAACACAAGAAATCCAGGAACATCCGTCTAACGAAATACAAGTAGGATGAAACGCACAACCCTGACTTCACTGATACTTATAATCAGTGTTTACTAATATGTAAATGAGGTCGATTTAAGATCATTAACATTAAGGGCAATCTAAGTTTCTTTACAGATTATTTTAATCTGAAGATGATTTTTGTCACAATCTGAGATCAATTTTAGAGAATGTGCTAGCCATGAAACCTGAGAAATTTTTAGTTTGATTCATTTTGTTGGAGTGGGTGTACAACACTAAATACTATTTATAAGCTAGGGCAAAACCCTGATTCAGCATTGATTAGTTTTTTTTACTACTCCACCAAATAACATCAAATTCAGATAAAGGGTTAACTAATCCATTGTAATTGACGCTACTCACAAGATTGCATATAAGTAGTTTGTAGCGCAACGTGACCTCGAAGCTATCATAGTCATCAGATGGAGAAAAGATTTCCAGTACATCAAAAGCACGGTATAGGTCAAACACTTAAAAATCAGACAAGAAGATAGTTCAGATTGTAGAACACACAGCAAGATGCAAATGGATGATCAAACGCTATGTATATAAATTATGTAGACATTCAACAGTTACATATCTTACTTATTTATTTATTTAAACACATATATATTGGTACAAAAGGGCACCAGGTACATATGCGCCACACAAAATAATGAAAGTAGGAAGCGAAGGGATGAAAAGATAAGAATTCATCATTTAATTTATTTGTGTGTGGGCTGTGATACTGCCCGGGTGCCCAAACCGAAGCAGGTGGTTTTCTTAGGGGGCCACACCCCAAGCCTTTGACCAAAAGGTCTGATCCACAAGGCAGTGGAGCATCGTGAGGAGATGCAGTCCCATCGTGGTCGGTGACCAACGATTAATTCATACGCCATTTGTTCCCTCAGGATACTGGAGCCCATGTGCACCATTGGTTTGGAATCAGAGTTTTCCAACTCCCCTAGGTGGACCCTCCGTGTCCACGAACCCAGTTAAAGCTCCGGAAATTCGCTTTTCGTCCTCTCACTTTCGTAAACAACAGTAATGCCACGAGAAGGCAGTGAGTAGGATTTCCCTGGCAGAGGCTATATATTCGCTGGCTATGTGAGAGCATTTCGAGAGGGAGAGTAGACTCTCCCCACTCTCGGCCGTACCAGGGCATTTGGGGGCACATATCTTACTTAAGTAAACTACATTCTGTTTTATCAATAAACATTTATCTAACCTCTAACTTATCGGATGATATCTTACAGTTCAAAGGATCAAATCAAAATAGAACAGCTGTTCAGTGTTCTTTGATAACTTAGCAATTCTTTCGTCTATAGAGCGTGACTCATATATACAATAAGTCATGAAATGAGTACTTTGTTTTTTAATATTTGAATTCATGAATCAATTAAAGCTAGATCATTATGGAAAACCTGGAAGTAATGGACGGCCGTTTCGTCCAAATATGGGATGTACCCACAATCCCGTCCGCGGAATTAGAACCCATGACCTATTTTGTTTTTGTTAAATTGACAAATTCTTGCCAGTAATTAAAAATAACTGACGTGACCCATGTGTCAATCAATAGAATTCTACAAACTTGTTAAACTGACCATTGAAGAACATTTCTTTTTACTTTAGACGAAGTAACAACAAGTAAACAATGATAATGATCATAATCACAATTGATGATTAACTACTAGATGAAATCCATCAGTTTATACTAAAAACATTTAAGCTGATAAGATTCGAGCACACCCAATATGAAATGAGATGACTGGTTTTCTATACTGCAGACGGATTGAGATTGGAAATATATTAAGTAGTTAAAAACGTATCATTCTTGCCACAAAATCTAAATGATTTTGAAATTCACTTAGTATTGTTTGTTTGAATCTTCCTATTCATGTTTTGGACTGCAACTGGTCGGTCTGTTATTAACATATTGCCTCGATATAGCCTTAATTGACGAGCATTATAAGCAAAGATTGATAGTGACTAGCAATGGAATCCAGGATGCGCGTTTCGTTCTATTGGGGACTCATCAGCCCGATGTACCTGCATCTCAGACTTGTTGATGTTCACTCTGAAACTCGAACCCAGTACCTTTCGCTTCAAACGCCATCGCGTTATCCACTCGGCCAATGAGTCCTGATTTTGAGTTTGATGATTCTCTAGCTAAATTTGATTTATATCAAAGATGACTATCGAATGAATAATATCAAAACAAATTGAACAATAATGTTTGCAATTAAATTTTCATCAGACTTTATTATGCAATAATATTTATATAAAGATACGAAAGTATTAGGCGCACAACCAGACAACTGAACCAATGAGTTAGTGAACACCTCCATTCGTGGTTAAGAAAAGGTAACGCCAAAATAATGTACAGCTTTGTTCTATCACAGTTGGTCGATAGCGGTCCTGTAGTACATAGAAATAGATCATTTAATGTGATTTATATTATTAGTACTAGCCTTCTTTATGGGGTTCGATGTCGTGTCCTACACACAGTCCCGACCGTTGCTGATACCTTGACGTGGTGGTCGGGCTTGCCTATCGTGATGAACCAATCGAGCTATACTGGCTTGAACAATCGTTCTTCAAGGTCAGTTGACCAAAAGCAGGTCGGTAAGACCAAAAGCAGCAAACCCAAGGTCCGAGGGAGAAGTTGTACTGTTGACTGTGCAGAGGTGTGACGGTAGTAAGGTGTTTCATTCAGAGAGTCAGCAAAACAGTGATGCTGCCTTCCCACAATGAGGGCCGGAGTTGGAAAAGGTCAACCCTAAAAATGCACACCTCGCCTTATCCCACGGATATCCGTCTCCGACGGTAAGGTCTCAACAAGTACGGAGCTAACACAAAAATGACTCACTAAAGGGTCGTGTATGACCGACCTCAAACAGTTGTCCCTTGGGCACTGCGGTCACGCTCTCAGATCATTAAGACCACTTCTAACCCAATTTCCTTTTTAGGTACTTGGCGAAGAACCCTATCACGGTGTGAGCAGCCGGGAAGTGATAACTGCCCTCATACCTCTAACAGCACTCAAGACTGACTGACACATAGTAGAAACTATAGGAATTCGAGCTAACAATCCAAGTTTCCATCCCTCCCACCCTTTTCTTTTCTCAAATATACACTTCACGGTTCAATTATCTGAACACTTCCTTCTTAATACGTAATCTTATAATTTTTATTGAATGTTATTTCAATGTCAATATTTTGCCTAATCATTGACCTATTTCCCATTAAGAAATATTGATTCAAGCCTTTATTATTCTTATCATAACTAGTACATTGCCAACTTGTACTTTTCACTTATCATGTAATCTATTCTACTGCTATCACTGATTCATCAATTAACCTAATTGAAAACCATATCGTTCGTTTATGTATGTTATTCTAATTCAATACAAATAATCTAATCCTATGTGAAAAAAAGAAGGATTATCAGAGCAACTGGATCTGTTAACAAAGTGGTTCAGATTCATGTCCTAAGAACCACATACTAGAGGTGGGGTAACAGGCGAAGGTATTTCTATCGACTAAATTACAATGTTGTCAATAATTTAAGTGGATCGAAATGCTGTTCAGTGTATGTCAGTGTTAAACAGTTGAAAGTGTTCGACAGGAAACCCTGCGCATAGGTTTCGTGCTACTTGTTGTTCGTCATCAAGAAGCATTTCTCTCACCACAATGCTCCATGGTAATATCATTTATATCGTGTGCCTGAGTGTCCTGTTTAAATATGACGTGACGATGCCACTAATTGGAGAGCAACGATTTATTGATCGGACAAATGACACACGAAACCCGTACGAGCAGTCTAGAGCAATATGAATCATTATTTTCAAACATACTGGGTTTATACACCAACCAAACAGACTACATCGTATCATAAAATAAGAAACAACATCTGTACAAGATTCAGCCAAATATGGCTGTGAATAGGGGGAACAGTAATTAATAGACTGGGTATAACACAAGAATAGTAAATCGTACAGTAATAGTTTATGGGTCAAAATAAAGCTCATAATAAAACGAACATGAATATGAATAGTTTAGTTACTTAACAATTATACAATAGGAAATATATGTATCATATTAGTCCATAAATAGTTCTCAAAAGTTACCATTCATAATTCTCTTCAGGATATAACAATATATATATGACTACGACACAAAATAATATGAAGTACACATCCAATAAGATGTGGAGGTCTGCCCAAGATCCCATCTATCCTGTGGGGACGAAAAATTTTACGGTTATCAAGGTGAAAGATTAGCGAAACATTGCACTGCTGTTTGATAAAATTAACAGATCTGTTTCGGAAGGTGTTGCAATAATAATGGTGCCAGTGACATTTAGGAATAGTAAACATTGAGAGAATGAAATTATCCTAAATCATCCTAAAGTGTTACCGGCTATCGATCGCAATTATTTAGTGGACCCTTAACAAATTGTATACACCTTGTGATTAGACCCATGCTAACATTTAACAACTTTATCATGATTGATTGTGTTTAATGGAACACACTGAAAACAACATTCTCACTAGCGTTAGATAACATATGGATTCAATAAAGTTAGAATTGGAAGAATAAATAACTGGGAACAATGAATAAAGATCATGTATCTTCTCCAAAAAAAAAGTAACACGAGTTTGAATTTCTAAATTCGATTCCATATTTGTCTCTGAGTATGTGATAAAAAAAATTTACTTACGCCTGTTACCCCCAATGGAGCATAGGCCGCCGATCATCATTCTCCAACCCACTCTGTCCTAGGCCTTCCTTTCTAGTTCTGTCCAACTTTTGTTCATTCTTCTCATGTATGTCTCCATTTCTCGGCCTAATGTATTCTTTGATCTTCCTCTTCTCCTTTGGCCTTCAGGGTTCCGTGTGAGGGCATGCTTTGTGACACAGTTGTGTGCTTTCTTCAATATGTGTCCTATCCACTTCCAGCGTTTCTTCCTCCTCTGGAGATAAAAAAACACCCTTCATATTAAAAGAGTTACAATCATAGAATCTCCAGAACAAACAGTTTTCTTCTCAATAGTTGATAATATATCTTTATTTTCTATTCAATAAACGTATGACTGGTTTCTTTTATCTACAATGTTTGATTAGCGATTTGTATTTGGATTGCTTCTTGCAGTGGAATTCTGGAATACACGTTTTTATCTTGTTTGAAACTAGCTAATAGCATTTCCTCGCAATCTAGTGTTGACGTTTACACTGAGACTTTAATCCAGTATCTGTCACTTGAAACGTCAAAATTTACTATTATTATCCTTTATTAAAAGCGATCATTCATTTTTGAGTCTCGTTTGTATCGACTGTGATTATATTTAATAATGATTAGAAATGAAGTCCAATAGGCTCATCCTCATCTTCATTTTATTTTTTGTTGACTAAACTCCGCCTGTAGCTCCTCCAGGGGCTACTGCCGGTCCCAAGCCCGGGTAAAGGAGGAGGGTTGGGCATGGGGTTAGCGACCCCATCCCGTAGAAAATCAACTCGCTAAAAAAACGCTAACCAGAAAAACGCTAACCAAATTGGTTCGCTTTGCACTAATGACAGTTTATGATAAGACTTGAAATGAATTACCCTCTTCCACACATAAGAATATAGATTAGACAACCTGTATGATCTATAATCATAATTATCTGCACTCTGAGATAGTTTCGCTTATTCCTTGCCTCTTTTCAACTCTTGAGTTCAGTATCATTTCTTTTATGAGATCTAAACATTACCTGACCGATCTCGTATCGGATCATTGATGTACCTACTCCATTGAGAATTAATAAACTAGGATATAACAGCTTTCCAGTTCATTCTTGTCGATGTCAGTTTATGGAGACAATCACCCTTACATTAATTTATATTTTCTATATTTGATTTAACTACTTTAGGATATTACAAATAAAACACCATTAATGAAAGCTGCACGTAGTGGTAAAGTATGGGCTGTTCGACGACTTTTATTATTTGGTGCTAATGTGAATGTAAAAGATCGTAATGATGAAACAGCATTACATTATGCATGTCGACAAGGATCTACAGAAATAACTAGAATGTTAATTAAAGTGAGTTGTTCTATTTTTGTTACAATAAACTTTAAGAAATAAATTGAATATATAAGAATTAACAGCAAACATGGATAGTGGCTAGCAGTGGAGTCCAAGATGAGCGTTTCGTCCTATTTGGGACTCGTCAGCTGAATGTACCTGCATCTCAGACTTGTTGATGTTCACTCTGGGACTCGAACCCAGTATCTTTCGCTTCAAACGCCATCACGTTATCCACTCAGCTACTGAGTCCTGATAGCTACTTGCTTGTGCAATGGGGTGAAGTTTAAATTCACTTAGTATTGTTTGTTTGAAACTTCCCTACTCACAGCATGCACATATGGCCAATGAGAGACTGACCATTTGCAGTCCTAAGCATCAATGGGAAGATTTAAACAAACAATACTAAGTGAATAAGAATTAACAGTTTGAATTCGCTAGGCTAATGTATATGGCTGAAAACGTTATTTGAGTTATCAAGTGTTATGTAATCCTATTGATATTATGATGTGATAATCATATCATGTCATTAACTAACCACCTCTTTGATAAGTCTGCTTACTGAACTCTCAACTGTTTCTAATAACTTCAGACTAAATCTACACGGCAATTTGATTACTTTAGAAAAGGCATGAATTATAAAAGGCGAAGATTGTTAATAAGGATTTACCTGACTCTCAAAATTAATCAAAAAATGATCTTATTAGAAAAGGGTTTCGTTGAAGTTAGACATTAACACCATCGGATGTCAACTCAGTAGTCTACAGGTTAAGCGTTCGAGATCGATAGGTCCTGGGTTCGAATCCAGCAAGTGGGATCATGGACGTGAACTGCCGAGGAGTCGCATACTAGGACGAAACGGCCGTCCAGTACCTACAGGTTTTCTGTGGTGTTCTAGCTTTAAATTATTCATGAATTCAACTATTAAACTAAAAAAATGATCTTTTAATATACCACATTTTATATGATTTATTTACAGTTAAATTAACAGTCATGTTTGTATAAGTTGGATTTATTTGCATTAACCATAATCATTCAGTAACTTGCTATGTGAAGAAACATTTACAATGTTATACAATCAAGTATTGATAATCCTTCTTAAGATGTGAATACATGTTAATTAATTGAAAAAAAAAACAGTTTCACATATCATTCACACTCCAAGCGATTTACTTATTGTCAGTCAGTCACAACGTAGAACTTCGTACATCAGTTCGAGTTGTCATGCCACAATAGTACAGAGATCCAGTTGTCGATTCAAATTCCATAGTGATAGAAGTAGTAAGAGTATAAGCAGTAAACGGGAAGATTGAGGTTTGAAGATGTTGTTCAAGGAGTATAATCCAGTGAAATAAATTTGGAAAGAGAAAAAAGAAAGGGACATGAAGAATTTAGAAGATTAGAATTTGGCAGAACACAAAGAGTGGATGTCCCTTCGCCATTGCAACTTTCATAAAATACATTCAAGGCACTGGAGCCGATGGTTTAAGATGATGGCATTAACTGAATTATTATCACTTTGCCGGAACATCCATTACCAGAATTTTGTTCCACGATTTCTTCACTCGTCACAATAATAATTCGATAACAACGATTATTGAACACACACGGTTACTAAGTATACTAAATGTCAGTCGGATTTCATAAATACAACCTAGAAATACTCTTACCAACCTTTCTAAGGTTAGACTAATCTCAAAACAATACTAAAGGTAACCCAGGTTAACATTAGCCACCTTGGATTATCATGTAAATAGATTGATTTCAGTCGCCATTAAATTTCACACACGATCAGTCTCTATTCATCACAAAGTACATTAGTGGCAGATATATAAGTTGTTTAAGATAAAGACATACAAGCTGAAGTATAAAATTATTCGTTGAGATCATTAAGCACTAGAATAGACAATCTATAAATTTTCTGGTTAAAGTTTATGAGATAACTTTATTCCAACGTTTGACAATCATAAGCAAGACGCGACTCATTATCCTTCTGACCAAATATGATGATGTATGTCATTACAAGTTTGTACTGTATTCTACTATTTTTATTTATTTAAGCACATAAATATTGGTACAAAAAGGCACCAGATATATATGTGCCGCACAAATCTCATTTGATTTGTGTGAGGGCTGTGTTACTGCTCAGGTGCCCAAACTGAAGAAGGTGGTTTTCTTAGGGGGCCACACCCGGAGCCTTTGACCAAAAATTCTGATTTACAAAGCAGTGGAGCATCGTGAGATGTAGTAACATGTTAGCCGGTGATCAACGATTGATTCATACGCTATTTGTTTCCTCAGGATACTGAAGCTCATGTGCACGACTGGTTTGGAATGAGGGTTTTTCAACTGCTCTAGGTGGACTCTCTATACCCACCAACCTTTGTTAAAGCTCCGGAAATTCGCTTTCTGTCCTCTCAATTTTGTAAACAATACCCTCATCACGAGAATGCAGTGAGTAGGACTTCCCTGACAGAGACTATATACGCGTGGTCATGTCAGAGCATTTGGAGAGGGAGAGCGGACTCTCCACTCTCTAGGCCGTACCAGGGCATTTAGGGGCATGTTCTACTATATAATTCCATGATTCAGTTATTACTTAAGTGTTTTTTAATGTCTCTTCTTCTTTTTGTTTGTCAGGCTGAATCACGTTTAAATGCTCAAAATCAAATTGGTCTAACACCATTAATGGAATCTGTATCATATAATCAACGTGAAGCTGTTAGCTTATTAATAAAACATAAAGATATTGATTTATATAAAAGAGATTTTTGCACTGGTGATACAGCTTTACATATTGCTGTAAAAAAGAATTATATACATATTGTAGAAATATTATTAAGAGCAGGTAAATAACCAAGAGGATTTACAATAGTCTTGTACAAGTGTGTTAAGTAATTTTTAAACTTGAGGAACTTAACATTTTATTGAGAACAGTTCAGAATTGATAACTAGATGGTACTGGTACAGGATAGTTGTGTAGTTCTACTTCAAGACCCTTCAACAATAGCTACATGATATTTCATTTCGACATCAAGATATCTTTAGATTATGACGGAGTTTTGTTCTCTGAGATAGATGGTTTAGTCGTGGAGCTTCTGAACGACGTCATCAGCACAAACTTCGGGTACTGGTGGTGGTATTCACAAAGATAATGCGTTGATGGAGAGGGGTGTTTTTTTCTAATAAATCAAGCATTTCATTTTGGGCTATAGTAATTGTTGGGGTGATACGTCTAGAGTACAACTGTCAACTTCCTGAGTCGATAAAAACATTGGACATACGAAGTCTCTTATAGTTTTGATCACCGGTTTACAATCCAAATTAATGATAATGAACAACACTTTGAACGATTTTTAATGGGTACAGTTTTATCAATACACTCTCAGTTGCTTAATTGATTATTATCATCAGTGTTACTATTTATTGATGTGAGTCCTTATTTCAGAATACCTGTTTAATTATGTAAAACGAATAGGGAAGCTAAATAGTTTGATTTCTGACGAAACCCAACAGTGTTTAAAACAATGAGAATGACCATAAGACACATGTAAATATTGTAAAGAAGATAGCATTCTTGTAATTTTTATAAAATAAAATTTGTATATTCACTGAACAGACTGAATGGGACCGTGGTAAGTTTTTCCGTTAATGTTTTGAAACATACTGAATGTGTCATACTACATAGCTCTCAAATGCTCTGGTACGGCCGAGGGTGGAAAAAGTGAGCTATCCCTTTCTAAATGCTCTTACATGACCACGTGCATACAACCACTGCCAAGGACGCCCTACTTACTACCTTCTCATGACATTACTGTTGTTTACGAAAGCGAGAGAATGAAAATTAAATGTCCGGCTCTTTAATCGGGTTGGTGGACACGGAGGGTCTTCCTAGAGGAGTTGCAAAACCCTCGTTTCAAACCAATGGTGCACATAGGCTCCAGTATCCTGAGGTAACATATGGCATATGAATCAATTGTTGGTCACCGGTTACCATTAGACTGTACCTCCTGACGTTGCTCCACTTCCTTGTGGATCACACCCCTTAGGTTAAAGGCTCCGGATGTGGCTCCCTAAGAAAACCACCTGCTTCGATTTAGTCACCCCAGAAGTATCCCAACACTGGCATATATCGAATGATTTGCATGATAGAATATCATTTCCTATAGAATGAGTATGTGTACCACATATATATTCTCAAATTTTCTTCACTTTTTTTCTTTCTATTTATCAACAGGTAATTGGTATATTGAATATAATTATAATAATTTGGGAGAATCATTTGTACATGATGTTGTTGCATATAATCGATTAGAATTATTACGTTTATTTCTTGCATATAATTATGATTTAGATAGACCAGCTAAACGTTTACCACTCAATATACATTTACTTACATCATCATTAAATCATTCAATGATAACAAAAACTACACAAACTACTATAACACCATCCATAATTCAATCAGAATCAAATTCACGTACAGTTATAAATCCATTTGAAAAATCACCATTTAAAATGGCATTAGAACGTGGACATCTTGATATGGCTAGAATATTAGCTGATGTTGGTTGTTTTTGTACACATTTACCAATTCATTCAAATAGTATATCATCAGGATGTGCAAGTTCATCATCATCATCATCATCATCGACATCCGCCTCATCCTCCTCATCATCTAGCAATAATGTTACAGACACGAATACAATTCATTCAACAATGAAAAATTCTCATTTAATTCATCAAAATTTATTAACACGACGTTATAATGGTTTACTTGAAGTGAAATCACTACAAAAATGGTGTCGTAAAGTAATAAGACAACATTTAGGTTTTCGTCTTATAGAATCATTACCATTATTACCTATACCCGTATCATTAAAAGATTTTTTATTATTACGTGATATTGATTGGTCAATTTATTTAAATGGTAATAATCATAATCATAATCATAATACGAATCGTAGTTCTATCATTAATTCAGGGGAATTAGCAATTATAGTACCAACTTAATATTCTTTATTGATTTATTTTTGTTTCCAAGGGAAATATCAGTTTCTAACACTTTTCTCTCTTTTTTTTACCAAAAAAAATAAAGAAAAAAAGAATTGCGATAGCAACAATCTTGACAGAATTAAAAAAAAACCATGATCAATTCCAACGGTTCTCTTTTTTTTCAAATCTAGATTAGTGAATTTTTCATATGATTACGTAATGTATTTACCACAAAAAAAAAATACAAAAAAATTATATTTAGGTTTATATACATTCTATAGAAATAAATGATATAACATTATTATAGGAAATGCATACATGCTATTACTATTATTATTTGAACTAAAGAGATTTGTATCCATGCCAACAAACATTTAAAAAATATATTTGAAAAAAAATATCTTCCTTATGTTTTATTTATTTATTGATACAAAAGGGTACCGAATACATATATAAGTCACTTGATTTGTGTGTGGGGGCTAAGATATTGTCCGGAAGGCTAGACCAAAGCAGGAGGTTGTCTTAGGGGGCCACATCTGGAGCCTTCAACCTGAAGGTTTAATCCACAAGGAAGTGGAGCAATGTCAGGAGATGCAGTTCTATGGTAGCCGGTGATCAACAATTGATTCAAGATAATGGAGCCCATGAGCACCATTGATTTGGAATGAGAGTTTTCCAACTCCCCTAGGTGGACTTATTAAAACTAAGACGTTCATACCTTGTGAAACCATCTGAGTTGATTGAAATAGGTCTGCATATTCAAATTTAATCAATTCTAATATAACACTACTTTATGTAAAGCCTTAAATGTTCAGACTAAGACAGAAAATTTTATTTAAAATATTTTCATAGTTTTTATCATGGACTGACCTTAGCTAAACGGTTGTCAAGATCCATGAAGCACTGGACAACTCCTTCGTCCCAGCATGGAACTACTCAGTAGCGTGTATCCACTACATCTCGGGACCTTCAGGCATTCAGGAGAACAACATTTAGACCACTTAGCCGGAGTTCACTAATCTATTTGTCTAAGCTATGAATTTCAACCATTCCGGGTGTGAAGTAGATTTCCACAATGACATTGTACAGTGAATTGGTTAAAGTTAAGCTCGCAAACCCCTGGATACCAACTCAGTAGTCTAATATTCGGATGCTTACAACGATACTCGAAGGTCTTAGGTTCGAACCTTAGCGGATTTATGAGTCCCCACTGTCGAGGGGATAATACACTAAGACGAAACAGTTGTGGAGGGCTTTTAAGCTTTAAATGGTTATCTGACTAAGGTTATTTTGTGGTATGGAGCGCAAAATTCAACAATCTCCACAAATTCCCTATACTTATATATACATAGACTGATTACCACGACGTGCTATGCTGACTAGTGTAGGGGATGGTTGTAAGAGAGTTAGAGGCGGCCAAACCAAAACGTAGCACCAGTGCTTGAAGTCACTAACTTCTAGTATGAGCCATGTTGGTAGATGCAGACTACTTGGTTGGCGTCCGCGTGACTATCGTAACCAATGATTGGAGACTCTAGGTGACATGGCTCAGAATCGATTACAATGGCACAGGTGTATACACTCTTTATCTTCCCTTAAACATTGAGATTAAAATTACTTCAAAACTTTCTTTCTTGCTATACTATATCCTTATACACAATTTTTTATATATTACCACCACTAAATTAACTACTTCTATGAATTCAGTGTTCATCTTGTTGTGCTAATGAGTGGGGTATGGCAACTTGGACGGATGCATAAATGTGCCTGGTCCTACGTTGTAGCTGACTGACTGACTGATATATACATAGAGTTATGAATCAAAACGTAGATATGTACTGCAATTTTTGTTTTATACAAAATATTGATCATAGTTGAGATGTTAATATCTTGATAGATGACAAAATCAAGTTGATAGAAAAAGAGGAGAGAACTATGAAATTTCAAAAATGAAAAAAAAACTAGAGTTGTTTTGTTCAAAACTATGATACAAAATAATGTGTATGTTAGATAAAAACAATGAGAAATCGTAGAAAAGAAAAAGGGGAAGAATACCAGTTAACTTCATTGTACATTATCTGATGTTGGCGGAAGATTCAAGAGGAAGAATTCCATTAAAATGATAATATACTTTTGTTCGTTCAGTAAGAGTAATATCTTTAAATCCAGCATTCAAGAAACTATCAACAACAACCTTGAGGAGAAAGAAAATAGAATACACAAATTGTAAGTTGGCATGATGCCAAAAATTATCAGATGTATCAGACTGTAAAAATTGTTATGAGCTAATAATATCGACTTGGTGCTCTACAAAAAATCAATAAAATGTTAGGAAGAGGAATACAGGTAGTCGTTGGTTAAAAAAACAAAGCTTCAACCTTTAATGATCTATTTATTTATTTAAACACATAAATATTGGCCTAAGAGGGAATCAGATATGTATGCGCCGGACTAATCTCATTTGATTTGTGTGAGGGCTGTGATACTGCCAAGGTGCCAAAACTGAAGCAGGTGGTTTTCTTAGGGGGCCAGATGCGGAGTCTTCGACCCAAAGATCTGATTCACAAGGCAGTGGGGCAACGTCAGGAGATGCAGTCCCATGGTAACCAGTGGTCAACGATTGATTCATACGCCATTTGTTACCTCAGGATACTGGAGCCCATGTGCACCATTCGTTTGAAATTAGGGTTTTCCAACTCTCCTAGGTGAACTTTATGTGTCCACCAACCCAGTTAAAGCTCCTGTCGGAGATTCGCTTTTCGTCCTTTCAATTTCGTAAACAGCAATGCCGTGAGAAGGCAGTGAGTAGAACTTCCCTGATAGAGGCTATATATTCGCGTGGCCATGTTAGAGCATTTTGAGAGGAAGTGACGACTCTCACCACTCTCGGAAGACAGTACGACACGATTTCGAACTTTTTAAAGGAATATAAGCTTCATCTAGATTGTGGGCAAATCAAATAGTTCCGTTTCAAGATGAATAGCTAATAAGTAATGTTCAAAACTGCAACAATTGATGATATGAGTAAGTACGTTATGGAGAACATTTACTTTTTTAAGACTAAAGTTACAATATGCCGCCTTAAGGTTACTAGCATGATACTTAAATCTAGAACTTGTTACTAAATCACTTCAGCCAAATATTATTAATACAAACAAATTATCGTTCTATATAGCGTCTAGCACAATTCCTTTTGAGTATGAGGTGCGATTTAGTGTAGAACATTTAGATCTCGTAGACGTTAACTGACTCGAAAGCTCCTCACTAACTATCCAATCAGAATAAAGATCTTATGGGCACCAGCGACAGCCATCAGGATGAATTTGCAACAATTTTAAAGGAAAATAGCAACTGATAAATTCCAATGGTAGCGAGGAAGAGGGTCATGAAAGGGTGTTATTGAGAAGTTTCGATAATTCGTGGGTTGAGTCAGCCATCAGAGATATATAACTAAGAACACATATGCCCCCGCTCAAATTACTATATAAGATCAATACGAACAAATGAAGTTATCAAGATAAATGTAAGAGTAGTAGAAAACATTAGGCCTAGACAAAAGGATTCAAGAAAGAATGAATTAATAGAATAGAAAAAACATTGGATGATTTTAAAAACCCAAGATCGAAAAGTAGATGGGAAGCAAATACATGTGCACGACTAAGACCAATTATAAGTCATGTCACACATCTACAACCATGCGGAACCCAACCAGGTAACCTAGACCAATCAACACAGTTGGGTTAAAAGATCAATGACTGCATGAACTGATACCACTTCTTAGTTTGGCCGTTCCTTTCTTTCAATCAGCCCTTAAGGAAGTGATCATCATGTGTTCTTGTAGGTTGTCTTTAGGCATACATTATAAATGACCCAACCGACTAAGTCAATGAGGATTTACTGCCTCGTTAAACAGTTTGCCATTTTTACCTAGTAAATTGTGTCTAACCTCAGCAGTGATTACTTCGTGGTCACAACATACGTGAGCAATGCTTCGAATACACTAATAATCAAATAGTAATATCCTTTATTCTCAAAGCTGGATTTCATACCCATATATTAGTATTCTCCACAAATCACTTAACTAAACAATCAAAATAATTAGAAGTCTATTTCATACTTTTACTTACCTCCTTAATTCCATCTAAAACAATGATGAATCGATAACGCTGTTGTAACAACGGCCAAATAGTACTAGCCATAAGAGCTGTATTCGCAAAACTAAATACTATCATATCTGCATCTGGTAAGGTCTCTACATCATCTCGATTATTAAAACGTGAACTTTTAAACCAAACAGACACTTGATATTCAGATGACCATTGACGATCAAAAGCAGCTAGATAATTACCCCATCCAGCACATTGATCAATGGCGAAATAAATAATACGTTGAGTAAAGCCACGACAACGTGCATATGCCAAATAAGCAGCTATATCTGGTCCGGGACCAACACCAATACTAATTATACGACTAACATGGTCCCGTAAATAAATTTCAACATCTGGATTTCCCGGTATAATTCGATAAACTAAAGCCTAAGGAGTAAAGTTGAAAGAACAAAATTGGACTCATTGATGGAAAATAATGAGTACATTTATTAATGCACATATAATAATGAGTAAATATTCAACTTCTATCTCCTCTACGTCCTAGATTCAAACCTTAATCCACTTATTCTAATGACGTAAACATAGAATAAAGGACAAAAGTCAAATTCAAGATCCTGTAATAATAGCACTCAGTGTTTGTTTGAAATATATCCATAACCTTTGTGTATCATAGTCGTAGACAACAACTTCCCCTGAATACTAAATAATCTTTTCACGTTTTGAAAACCAATGAATGGAAAGAAGCTATAAACAATACAACAATGGATATTGCCAATATTATTCACATCACATATATGTATAATCATACTTGTATACACGATACATGAAACATTTGTAAACTTCAATTATGTCTTATGAATGTTGACATGCATAATAGGTAGATATGTGTAACTTTCAACTAAAGTATTACGCCAACAAGAGATTTCTGATGACCTCATAAAAGATTCACTTAGAAATGGCTGATTCACTACAGCCCCCAAATGTCCTGGTACGACAGAGAATGGGGTGGTCCCACCCTCTCCCTTCAAATACTCTGACACGGCCACGCGTATACAGCCTCTGTCAGGAGAGTCCTACTCACTGCCTCCTCGTGCAGGGGGTGTTGTTTGCGAAGTTGAGAGGACAAAAAGCGAATCTCCGGCGCTTTAACTGGGTTGGTGGACACAGAAGGTCCACCTAGGGGAGTTGGAAAACCCTTGTTCCTAACCTATGATGCATATGGGCTCCAGTATCCTGAAAGAACAAATGGAGCATGAACCAGTCGTTGGTCACCGGCTACCATAGGAATGCGTCTCCTGACGTTGCTCCACTGCCATGTGGATCAGACCTTTAGATCGAAGACTCCTAAGAAAACCACTTACTTCGGTCTGGGAACCCAAGAAGTATCATAGCCCTCACACAATTAAATGAAATGACAATTTTTTGTGTAGCGCATATATATCTGTTGCCCCCTGGTACCAATACTTATGTGTTCAAATAAATAAATAAATAAAAACCTTGATTCAAACTAGCACCTAACTATTGAATGTATAGGTATGTTTGGTTTCCTTATATCCCTAGTTCGCTGTAACAAAAACCACAATGTTCATAAAGTAAACACAAAACCCCTCATATACAAAAAATGGTATGTTTAAACATTAATAGACAGATAGTTGTTATAAAGGGAACTCCTTTTTTCAAAAAAGGAAAATATATTTGAGTTTCTTTTACCTGAAGGAAACTTGTAGAACTATTTATATAACGTTGTCGAGTGTAAGTGGCGCGAAATGTGTCGTTATCGTAATAAGCTAAAAGGCATTCTTTTCGACGTATTTTGCCTGATAAAATAAAAACGAAAAAAACCTGGAAATTTAACCAATTTATAGAATTATGTAAGACAGGGAGAGAAGTACAACAATCAATAAAGTTTTATTTGTGGGATTTGTATCAATTAGAGACTAAACATAACATGATCTGTGAATTTTACGTAGGAACACCGATTTTTTTACTTTTAACAGTTAATTAATTGAATAGTAACAATGGTCAACTTAAATTATAATTGTCATCATACGACTCTCCTCACGAAGGTGGCATAGTGAGTAAAGCGTTTGACGTCCAGTGTATCGGTAACACTGTCTTATCGAGCAATTATATACTAATTGCATAAATAACGTTCAATCAACCAGTGTAAAGAGTCCCAATGGTAGGTGCTTTATACCAATAAAAGACAAAGCATTCGTAAATTGAAAATTTTTAATTATGTTTACTCTAGACAGTGAACCATTGGGGAATGTGAAAAATAGCAATTTACAGGCAGTTTGTAATATTAACAGGAGAATGATATGATTTCTTCGTGCAACGAAAGCTATGGTAGTATGCACAAACCTGAATTTTCTTTACCGTAGTCACAACATTAATTTGGCTAGAAAAGGTAATTTCATGAATTAATATGCTTTCACGAATTCCGAAATTGATTGCTACTAGAAATAGAGCCTGTAGCTGCATATCAAAATGCATGTAAAAGGGTTTAAACTAGAAACCGAATGATTAAAAGGTAATTGTTTAAGTCAATAAGCTTAATGTGCTGTTGGAGGTGGGAGGGGGGTTACCACTTTCCGGTTGCCTACACCATCCTGCTTCGGTTTGGGCACCCGGGCAGTATCACAGCCCACACACAAATGAATGAAATGATGAACTCTATTGACGATTCTATTCCTGCTCATATTATAAGCAAGACAATTTACATTATTATTATTATTATTATTATTACTTACCATATAGCTAATTCACCCCTTTTATCCCCAATTTGTGTAACCTTACTCTTCAACTTATGCAGCAGCTCGCTCTTGGTGGAAAATCTGTCCTATCTAAACGATCTCCAGTCACTGTCTGGTTGAAAGTGAATGCTTCCACCGATAATGAATACTGAGGCAGTCTTTCTGAAACCACGTACGCCGTTCAAGCTGGCTTCCTTCAACGTTCGCACACTAATGCATATCAGACAACAGATAGGGCTGGCTATGTCTTTGGAAGGTCTTAATGTTGATGTTTGTTGTCTATCCGAGACCCGTATTCAAGACTCTAGTGAAGTACTACAAATCCGCTCTCCATCTGTCGCCTCGAAAAGCTTGTTCCATGTGCGCTTATCCGGGGACCCTGTGGCATCTTCGTCTGGTCTTGCTGGCGTTGGTGTCGCACTAAGCGCTAGGGCTGAGGCAGCACTAATCGATTGGATCCCCATTAACAGTCGGTTATGTGCTGTTAGATTAGAAAGTTCCATCAAAGTGAGAAGAAATCGGCGTGAGAAACGGTGTCTTTTCTTCATCTCCGCCTATGCCCCGACAGACTGCAGCCCGGATGCAATCAAGGATGAGTTTTACCATCAGTTAACAGTTCTTCTCCAGAAAGTGCGTTCGACAGATATTGTAGTACTAGCCGGAGACTTGAATGCACAGGTCGGGCGTCTAGGCACAGAAGAGAGTCGTTTAGGTGGCCGATGGGGACTTGTTGGTCGCAGGACAGATAACGGGGACCGTTTGCTGCAACTGTGCACAGACCACAACCTGTTTTTGGCCAGCACTAACTTCCGGCACAGTCATCGCCGGTGTGCCACCTGGCGTCCTCCCTCTGCATCCCAAGCCTGGACTCAGATTGATCACATCGCGATCAGCTACCGCTGGCGTGGTTGTGTACAAGACTGCCGCTCCTTTTGGAGTACCTATCTGGAGTCTGATCATGCCCTGGTCTGCGCCAATCTCACCTTACTTTTCAGTGGCCGAAGGATTGACCACCACCAACGGATTGATATTAGTAAACTGGCTGCAACTCCTGTTGCAAGTAAGTATCGAGCGGAGCTAGCCTCTAAGCTAGCTAACACCCCACCGAAAAGTATAGATGAGCATTGGTTGCATCTTCACGACGCCATGAAAATGGCGAGTAAAGCCGCTTGCGGCTTCGCGAAACGTCCCGCTTACAAGCACTGGGTTTCTTCTGGCTCCTTACAACTGATGGAAGCCCGTCGGTCTACTCCGGGTGACCGTGAGTTTGACCACAAACGAAGGCTGTTACGTAATGAAATCGGGCAAAGCTTGCGTAAGGACCGAGAAGCCTGGTGGTCGGAGCGTGCTAATGAGATGGAAGCAGCAGCTGCATCTGGTAACTGCCGGAAGCTCTTCCAACTCATCCGAGCCACTGGCAGCAAGAAGTCTGGCGTGAGTGAAACAATCTACGAGGATGATGGGATGCCAATCACTAACATCTCCCGACGTCTTGGACGATGGGCGGAATTCTTCGAAGGGCAGTTCAACTGGCCTGCTGCTCTGGCAACATCAACCAGCTTGTCCTGCCCCCCATGGCCTGTGACGACTGTTCCACCAAACGAGGCGGAAGTCCGCAAGGAACTCCAACTCTTGAAACATTACAAATCACCTGGCCCAGATGACTTACCTCCGGCTCTTTTTAAAGATGGTGGTGACTTTCTGACTAAGGAATTGACTGAGTTGTTTGGAAAAGTTTAGGAGCAAGAAAGTGTTCCAACATCATGGAATGAGTCAATAGTCGTCCCTATCTTTAAAAAGGGTTCACGTTGTTCCTGCAATAACTATCGGGGGATAAGTCTACTTTCGATTGCGTCCAAACTATTGGCTTCTATCATTCTTCGTAGGTTGTTTAAAACCCGAGAACGATTGACTCGCGAGGAGCAGGCTGGTTTTCGTTCTGGTCGAGGATGCATTGATCACATCTTCACCCTCCGCCAAATGTTAGAACACCGTCATACTTATCGCAGGCCAACAATCGTAGTGTTTCTTGATATCAGGGCGGCCTTCGATTCGTTGGACAGGTCTGTTCTCTGGGATTGTCTATTGAAGAAGGGTGTGCCTGAGAAGTTCATTAACATCTTAAAGGCTCTGTATACGAACACCTCAGGCAAAGTGAGGGCATACAACCACCTTTCTCCCTTGTTCCATTCGAGCAGTGGGGTTAGGCAGGGTTGCCCGATCTCACCATTCCTCTTCAACTTTGCCATCGACGACATCCTGGAAACAGCTCTGGTGGATGTAAGTAATGGCGGTGTGGATATGTTGCCTGGAGAACGACTTCTCGACCTTGAGTATGCGGATGATATTGTCTTACTGTGCGATAATGCCCAAGGCATGCAATCAGCACTTAATCAGTTGGCAATCAGTGTCCGCAGGTACGGCATGTGCTTTGCACCCTCCAAGTGCAAAGTACTCCTACAAGACTGGCAGGATTCTCATCCTGTACTCACCCTGGATGGTGAGCAGATCGAAGTAGTTGAGAAGTTCGTGTATCTAGGTAGCTATATAAGTGCTGGTGGTGGCGTGAGTGATGAGATTGATGCACGTATAATGAAAGCCAGAGCGGCTTATGCCAATCTGGGCCATCTTTGGCGCCTTCGTGATGTTAGTCTGGCTGTAAAAGGTCGGATCTACAACGCGTCGGTGAGAGCAGTTTTGCTCTATGCTTGTGAAACCTGGCCTCTCCGAGTTGAGGATGTTAGACGTCTCTCTGTGTTCGATCATCGTTGTCTCCGAAGGATTGCTGACATCCAGTGGCAACACCATGTTAGTAATGCAGAGGTTCGGCATCGTGTGTTCGGGCGCAGAGACGATAATTCAATTGGTGTCACCATCTTGAAACACCGACTTCGGTGGCTTGGACATGTTTTACGAATGTCGTCCCAGAGACTTACACGTCGTGCATTATTTGCCGACCCTGGGACTGGTTGGAAAAAGCGGAGAGGAGGTCAGTGTATGACATGGTGTCGTGGCATGAAAGAGAGCTGCAAAGGGCTAGCTTCTTTTGGTCCTTCACGACTCCTTGGTTGGGGTCCGAGAGATGGTGCAACACAGTGGCTAGAGACGTTATCAGATATGGCTCAGAATAGAAGCCAGTGGCGATCCTGCTGCAACCTTCTTTTACTTTCTACATAAAGAATGGTTCTAACTTTCCTAACTGAAAGTCTTCTGGTTGTACATTTCAGTCCACCTTATCTTTTCATCCCTTCTCTTCCTACTTTCATTATTTTGTGTGGTGCATATGTACCTGGTGCCCTTTTGTACCAATATATATGTGTTTAAATAAATAAATAAATAAATGCCTACACCATGAAACGGTTCTTCTGGAGGTACCTGAAAAGGAGATAGGGTTAGGGGTAGTCTTAGTGATCCGAGAACGTGACCGCAGTGCCCAAGGGACAACTGTTTGAGGTCGGTCATACACGACCCTTTAGTGAGTCATTTTTGTGTTAGCTCCGTACTTGTTGAGACCTTACCGTCGGAGACGGATATCTGTGGAATAAGGAGAGGTGGACATTTTTAGGGTCGACCTTTTCCAACCCCAGCCCTTATTGTGGGAAGGCAGCACTGCTGTTTTGCTGGTTGTCTGAATGAAACACTTTAATGCCGTCACACCTCTGTATAGTCAGCAGTACGACTTCGCCCTCGGGCCTTAGGTTTGCTGCTTTTGGTATTACCGCTCTTCAACCGACCTGTCTAGCACAGTAGGACCTTGAAGAACAATTGTTCCCCCCAGTATAGTTCGATTGGTTCATTACGATAGGTAATCCCGACCACCACATCAATGTAAAAACAAATGTCGGGACTTAGGGTGCATACAAAAAATAAATACATGATTGAGTTTTAACAGTATTACCCCATTCTCTATAGAGACTTTGACCTCGTTGTTCACGATCGGATTTAAGTGTAGAGTTAAGTAACTTCTCTATTGGTTGATATAACTCCATTATTCGTTTGACTTCTTGAGCAAATTTAGCTCGTCTCTGAACACAGTTCTCCCATGCAGACCGAAGCTCTACATCTAACTCATCATCAGCAAGCTTTTGCTTTAAAAAACTCTCCCACCATGCCTCAACAGACTCATCCGACTCACTACTTCCAGTTTCCACTGTTCCCGCCATGAATCCACAATTCTCTGATTAAAGACATAAGGGTTAAAAAACAGCACGAAAAATATAAAGGAATTATTTATTTATTTGAACAAAAACATTAATAAAAGGGGGCATTAAATATATATGCGCCACACAATAGCAATGAGGATTTGGAGAGACAGAGAACACCTAATATGTAAAAATGTGATTTTTTGTTCGTGTTATGTTATTCTGTAGTTGTACATTGTTGACTTTTTCAGTGCAGATATCAGCGTTCTCATCGAGAGCACAGTTGTTCGTCTATGATAATGTATAGTTTTTTAGCTTAATTATTACTCTGACATTATTAATTTGATAGGCATAGTTGGAGTTAGTCAACGATAGAAAATGTATTTATTGAGTTACATTCTCACTCTCCCTGCTTCGATATAGGCACCCGGGAGGAATTTCAACCCTCACACAGATCGAACGATTTATGTGGCGCATATATAGTTTGTATTTCTTTGTACCGATGTTTAGGTGTTTAAATAAATAAAATGTACAACACAAACACCAGAATATATACACATATGTGATAAGATAGTCGGTTACAAGTGAACCAACGACCTATAGTTAATAAACGAGTAACATTAATTGGCTCGTCTTAAAGAAATAAACATCTCACTGTTCAATCTGTGAATGATACACAGTGGTTTATAAGTTTATATATCTCTAAACAACGGACACGCATATTACAGTACTTTGATTATTTACTTTGGATCTAGAAAGCTAGTTTCCAGATAAAGAGCACCTATAGCGTGGGATTCAAAAGCAAAAGTCATCAAAACACGGTCACTTTATTAAATTATTCGCCGTTGACTATTATATTATCATACAGAAAAATCAAATGCATGCGGACATTTTCCCGACTGAGGTGGAATAGTTTAATAAGTGACACTATAAACAGTCACTCAGTCAGTCACAACGTGGAACCTGTACGTATATATATCTGTTTAAGTCACCCTACCCTATTAGCACAGATTTTTTCAGGCCAAGTCTCAGAATAGTAGAGGTAGTAGCAGTATCAGTGGTAATAGGAAAGACTAAACATCGAATAGGCGATTTGAGAAAACACAAATAAGTAAATTAAAAACGAAGGTTGTGGGGAATTTAGAACATAAGGACTTAGGGGGAGACAAAGAGTAGATGCACCTGTGCCATAGCAAACGATTTTGAGCTATGTCATTTCGTCTCCGACCATTGGTTACGATAATCACGTAGCCCCCTTCCAGGTAGTCTACAACTGTTAACATAATTTGGTTCGATTGTCAGTAACTTGATGGACTGATGCAATAATTTGGTTTACCCACTCCTGTGTTTCTTGACGTCTGCTCCTGAACCAGAAAAAATCACCAGTCGAGGTAGGCGGCTGTTGATGAATGAAATTGGGAATTAAATTCGTGAATTTAGGCTAGTCGGTGTAAGAAATAGCCGGGTCAAGAAAATACAATGGAATGCGCAAACTTCGTTTTAAAAAACCCACAGTGCTAACTACTACTTCGTATCTACGGGCCTTATGAATACATTAGGACTTTTACATTCAAAGATCAAAGTTCGAAACAAGATTAAGTGTTCTGATCGCAAAGAGATGTATGGGACTGATGTAGCAGATCGAATTTACAGCAATATCCTATTTTGTTGACCACTCCGAATCATTGGTTGTAAGTAGCCGGGAGAAGGATTTCAAGATCAAGTGCCGACTAAAGACTGAAGATAGTCTCAGGAATGTTACGGGGAATGAACAAGGTCACAATGTCAACAACATATACTGTTGATCAAGCTGTTCGGATGATGTACAAAGGGTGGTGAAGCGCGACAGATAGTGATGGGAGACTAAGCGGGCGGATATAGATTTTAAATTACGCGTAAATGAAGGTGCTTTCAAATAAATTGTGTCGTGAGCTCGCGATAACGTTAGCACACAGCTCCGCCACATCTCGAATTCGAAACGTATGACATAAGATATCTGATGTCATATGTTCATATATCCAATTCAAAAACTTAAAATTCTAAGTAAATTAAGTTACATCTGGCATAGATATATTAATATGCAGATTACTATATGATAATGAACAGTTACAACTAACACATATTAACTTCTTGTGTAGTGCATCAAAATCCCAATCTCCTTACTTTTGAGAAAATTTTGTCCGTCTTGGGGAAAAAATTTGGGGAAATGACATGAAACCCCTAAATTTCTCCAAGTCCGAGTAAATTTCGCCGAACTTTGGGGAATCCGCAAAGTATCATTGGATATTGGGGGGAGCCTCGAAAATTCCCCAAAACAGGTAGAATGGGATGACATCAGGTCCCAATCTACCGATTTTGGGTAAACTCTGTGGTTTTCCTTCGATTCGTAGGCAACATGGTAATTTTCCTTGAATTTTGGGGTAAAACCCCAGTGTTGTGAAATCCTGGGTAGGAAATAGGGTAAGCGCAATATTTCTCCATATATTTTGAGGATTTACACCATGCTTGAGATTTTAAGGTTTTTTGTATCATTTACCCAGAAATGTTTTGAAATTTTTTGTCGAGAATTCCCCAAAATTTACCCAAAACGCACAAATTTACTCGAAAATAGGGAGAACAGTATTTGTCCACCTATCTAATCTTAAAACAGTGTAGATGGCATGAATTTAAATGCTAATACTTAGATGAAAAAATCTGTACTATTATGAGGAAAAAATATTGGGTATTTGGCCCTTTAAATCCTTTCGAATAGTTTTCTGGTTAAAAATGTGGAATTACATAAAAGGCGCGTATACACACTTGGTCACGACCTTCGCTAGGACAAAACAGATAGCAATATCCAATATCTTCGTATCTACATAAATGATTCAAATGGTCGAGGACGGAATAGAAGAAGCTTTCGCTTAACGGGCTTCCGTGTCTAGCAGCAATAGATCAACAATACATCCAGGTAAGAACCTAGGTATATTAACGATGACAGAGAAAAAAAAGAATTTGGTAAATCATAATAATATGTTATCTGTAGTCCTTAAGAATAAGTCAAGTTTCCTCTTAAACGACTCCTGGGAAGTCGCTTGGACTAGCCCAGCATTTGACAACTCTAACGGAGTAGAAGTTGTGTCTGCAGTCTGTTCTGCTATGTTGGGTCTCCAGTTTCTAGGTGTTGCCTCTTAGGTTAGTGTTGTGACTAAGCTTGAGAAGATGTTTAAGGGGATGACCATAAGTATTAAGGATACTATAAATCATAAGATGGTCACCTCTAAGAAGCAACATGTCTCAGATGGACTACTTTGCACTTTGAAGTATTGAAGTTAAGTCCGTTGTCGTCTGCCCAACTTTGAAGACGAGTCAGGTCCTACTGAAGTACTAGTACATCATTATGATTACGTATCTCTCTCCAAAGTTTCACATCATCAGCAAAAAGCAATAAGTTAGATGAAACTTGTTGAGGAAGATCGTTAATATAAATCAAGAAGTGAAGAGGTGCTATTATTGAACCCTGGGGGACCCCACTAGGACATTCCATAGCCTGAGAGAGAGTGAAGCTAACCCTGACCTTAAAGTGTCGATTTTCTAAATATGAAGAGTGCCAATCAATCAAAAGGGTTTTTATGCCCAATCGCCTAAGCTTCTTGATAAGACATACATGGTTGACCCTTTCAAAAGCTTTTGAGAAGTCCAGGTAAATGAAGTCGACCTTCCCCTTACGATCAAGGACGGTTGTCCATCTATCCACCGCAGTCACCAGGTTGATCATACATGAATGACCTTTTCTGAAACCGTGCTGTTGAAGTGGGAAGAACTTTAAGGATGATAAGTATTCTTGTATACCGTCGTATATTGGAGATTTCATAATTTCTGAAGGTATGGAGAGAAGGGCCAGTGGTCGGCAGCTTGAGGGTTCACTGCGTCTACCTACTTTGAAAATTGGTGTTATGTGATTCAGCTTCCAAATTTCCGGTAGTTTGCCTCGGCTTGCTGCCAAATTCTCATTTCTTTTATCGGAATAATGGATATAACGGGGATAAGATTTGCACAGTTAGAAAGAACTTGCGTTTCACTATGTCGTCATCAAATAAAAAATTCATTACCTCAGCAGTCGATTGAAGCTCCTTCTGTCGACATTTTCAAAGAAAGTTGCGCCAACTGAGAAACCCCTATTGTCAGGACTAACATGGGCCAATAAACCTCTCACCGCTTCAAAACTGGAACTTAAAATGTTGTAGGCAGAGACGCATGGTGGCTAGCAGTAGAGTTCAGGACGCATCAGCTGGATGCACTCAAGTCCCAGAGGTGGTTTTCACTCCAGAACTCAAACCCAGTACCGTTCACTTCAAAACCACCGAGTTATCCACATAGCTCTTCATAAGGTTTGAATTTGAGTCCACGAAATGATTTCGTGGCTCGACGTTGTATGCGTTCCAGAGTGTCCTTATCCTTTTGGAGGGAGGGAGGAAATACTATGTTTCCGTACTCTATATGGAGACGAATAAAACTGTTGAAGATTATATGGAAGTTTCTAACGTCAATATAATCTTCAACAGTTTTATTCGTCTCCATATAGAGTACGGAAACATAGTATTTCCTCCCTCCCTCCAAAAGGATAAGGACACTCTGGAACGCATACAACGTCGAGACACGAAATCATTTCGTGGACTCAAATTAAGACCTTATGAAGAGCGCCTCAAATCACTTAACCTTTACTCGTTAGAGTACAGGTGCCTTAGAGGTGATCATCTTATGACTTATAGTATCCTTAATACTTATGATCATCCCCTTAAACATCTTCTTAGGCTTAGTCATAACACTAACCTGAGAGGTAACACTCAGATATTGGAGATCCTACATAGCAGAACAGACTGCAGACACAACTTCTACTCCGTTAGAGTTGTTAAGTGCTGGAATTCGCTGCCAACTGAGCTAGTCCAAGCGACCTCCCAGGAGTCGTTTAAGAGGAAACTTGACTTATTCTTAAGGACTACAGATAACATATTATTATGATTTACCAAATTCTTTTTTTCCTCCATTATCGTTCATTTAACTAGGTTCTTACCTGGAGATATTGGTGATCCACTGCTACTAGACACGGAAGCCCGTTAAGCGAAAGCTTCTTCTATTCCGTCCTCAACCATTTGAACCATTTGAAAGCTGCTGAGTACATATAGCCACTAGCTTGTGTAGAATAAAACGCGTGTCCCGGATCTCATTGCTAGCCATTTACTATAACTGCACATAATGCTTGTGACTTAGAGGCAAAATCAAGGTGTCCGGACAGAACGCACAAATGTCAATAAGAGATTGATCAGTGGCAGTTCCAACCATCGGTAAGATGAATAAAACAACCAACACAGAAATGGACTGAAATTGAAGCTGACAGTAACCATCAAACATATAGCTACTGATATTGCCAGCCTGATACCAATAAAGACCTGGGGAAACAAGCACGCTTCTATGTAAAATGCCAGGCGTCTGAAATTATTAAACACGACAGTTGTCCCTCATGCTCTCCCGAAATTCAAGACACCCATTTCCACCATGTCCATCTTGGTTTGGTAGGACACTCTTAGCTTTTAGAATGTACAAACCGCTTCTCACGTGGAGCAGAAGTACCCATCAAGGCCATTGCCACTGAAACAGTGGCCCGTCACTTTATCGAACGGTGAGAAACAAGCTTCCGCTGCTCTTCACCTATAACTATAAACTGTGGACACTAGTTTTAACCTGGACTTTCCTGTTGTTTTACACGACTACTAAGAGTCATACGATTACCAACGACTGCCCACCACTTACAATGTAACGGGTTATTAGAAGGATTTCTGATATAGACAATTTTCAGCTGTAGACGTTTTAAAGTGATCTAACGCTCTTCACTTGTCTCGGTTAGTATTCACAATGCAGTGGAAGCTGACGTTGGGTACACTGCACCTTAATTCATCCACAGCATGACACTCCAACTTTCAGGCTTGTGAACGTCATACGTTCAGTTAAACCTGTTTCCACTTAATCGCAGGGAACCAATGTTTTTGTTCAACCTGCTTTACGACAGTATACACCTCGACTCATCACAATGGCTTATCGAAATGACATAAAAATGAACCCTCAAAGTCCATCACAATCTTAAATACTAAATCATTGATAAAAACGGAAAAAGCAATGACGTCATCATTGACCATCTTAATGCCGTTTATTTAGAAGGAAACTGTTTTATTGCTGATTTTCCTTCTTTACATTCGAACGACGCGAGCCTCATATTTACGATGCTTTTCCTCGTACTCAACAATCACGACGAAACTTCTCTGGTATCTAACACCCAACCGAAACGAAGCGCCCTGCAAGAAAGGTAATGTTTCCAGAGCACCTAAACGACTACTGAGTGTATGAAAATGGACAACAGTTTGTTCAATCTAGTCTCTTTGTGTAGCTGCGTTGAAGAAACAAACATGTTGCTTTCTGATACGCTCATTTATTTTGTTTTTCCTTGAGAAAAATACAGAGAGAGATCATTGTCGAAAGCATTTTTGCTCTACCGCATGTTATTTTTAAGCATATATTATATGTTTTTCTGGCACACCTGGTGTTTTTATTCCTTTACGAGTGCATTTCGACATGAACTTGCACCTTTATTTTTTTCTTCCACAGAACTTCTAGAAAGGATGAAAAACGGACATACATTACGATGAATAGATACTTCTATTTTATTTTTTCTTCAGTAAGGAGACCAGATGCAGCTGAACACAACAAGTATTTACAACGTCGTGCTATGCATCCCTTATCATTGCTAGCCGGCTTAAATAAACGCTTTTCGACATATCGGCAGCCTTCCAAATATACCTTCAAACCTCTCCGTTTCCTGGATTTTGATTTGACAGTTTGGGTGTACATCAATTATAAAGGTGTTACGTATAGAGGCATTGTCAGTTCTCGAACAACTGTGGCATCTTTAATGGTTCAAATGGTTCAAATGGTTGAGGACGGAATAGAAGAAGCTTTCGCTTAACGGGCTTCCGTGTTTGGTAGCAGTGTGTTAGTGGAATATAGATTGGATTAAGCATGTTTTATGCATGATGGTGTTGCAGCGCGCTGATTGGTTAATTTTAAATCGATCAGCCCGGGCATATTATTGCAGAAAAATCTATAAGTTCCTTATGTATATACTATAAATATATGAACAGTATTTAAACTATTGATTGCTGTTCACTTATCATTATTATTTTGAATACAATTTCATTCTTGTTCAACGTGTTCTGATTTTGGGGTCTTGTCGAGTGTCATCGTATAAGAATACTAAGCAATAGGAATAGCTGGGTCGTTTATATAGTAAAAACGACAATTATAACACAGTGGATCACCAATACCTCCAGGTAAGAACCTAGGTAAATGAACGATAATGGAGGAAAAAAAGAATTTGGTAAATCATAATAATATGTTATCTGTAGTCCTTAAGAATAAGTCAAGTTTCCTCTTAAACGACTCCTGGGAGGTCGCTTGGACTAGCTCAGTTGGCAGCGAATTCCAGCACTTAACAACTCTAACGGAGTAGAAGTTGTGTCTGCAGTCTGTTCTGCTATGTAGGGTCTCCAATATCTGAGTGTTGCCTCTCAGGTTAGTGTTATGACTAAGCCTAAGAAGATGTTTAAGGGGATGATCATAAGTATTAAGGATACTATAAGTCATAAGATGATCACCTCTAAGGCACCTGTACTCTAACGAGTAAAGGTTAAGTGATTTGAGGCGCTCTTCATAAGGTCTTAATTTGAGTCCACGAAATGATTTCGTGTCTCGACGTTGTATGCGTTCCAGAGTGT